TTCTGGTCGATATGATAAGATAATAACGCTATCGCACAATTACATGTCCAATATTGGCTGATTCATATCCAATATCAACTGGTACTGATATATATAAAAAAAAAAAAAAAAAAAAAAGTGTATAAAATCAGCAGACAACAACATGGTATATGGGTAGGGATTCATGATATATCAGTACCAACTAATAAAACATCAAAGGAATATTATACTTTGTTTGTATACACATAAGAGGAGATATTAATAGTTCATACCTGGTGCCTCTGCCTACAGTGTTCACAGTTAGGCCCTACTGGTGGTCCAGTGGCTGCCGAATATTTCATACTGTAACAAACATATAAATACACTTACTGAAACACATAATGATAATGATAGTACAGAAGCATTGGGAAAAAGCGAAAAGATCAATCATAGAGGTAGAAATACTCACTGTTTGCCTTGGCTCATCTTCTTCCCCATCCTCTGCAGATGAAATGCACCACAGCCGACACAGTTATACAGCAGCGCATGCTTACTGTGAAACACACACAGATACCTGGACTTACTAATAACATAATACATTTCTGTAAAAAAGTTTGGGGTCTGTTAAATTTTTTACATATTTGAAAGAAGTCTTTTATGCTTACACGCTGAATTTATTTAGAAAAAAATATAGTAAAATCTGTACATTTCTGAAATATTATGACGATTTGAAATAACTGTTTACTATTTCAATATATTTTAAAATGCAATTTATTCCTGTGATGGCAAAGCTGAATTTTCAGCAGCCATTACTCCAGGATTCATTACTTTTAAGGATTCTTTGATGAATGAAATGTTAAAGAACAGCATCTATTTGAAATTTATTTTTTTTGTAACATTATAAATATCTTTACTGTCTTTACTGTATTCATTTCTTACTGCATTTTTTCGTGTATGATTACTAGCAGCTATTTTATCTCTATATATGTAGACAGAGTAAACTGTGTGTTACCTTGCAGAGTTTTTGACCACGGCCTGGCCTGTTTTGACTCTGACGAATACACGAATGTAGAAATCCACACTCACGCTCAAGAGAGGTTCAATGTAACGCTGATACACAGCTGCTCTCTGATCTAAACTGTGCAGAATTATACGCAGAGCCTAGAATCAAAAGCAAAAAGCGTGTGATTAAGACGATGTTATGATATGAGTTTCCTTCATTCCATCCATTCACAAACAGCAGTGAGCCCATCTTACCATCTCATGACAGTATCTGGACTTGATGGACATAGAGCCATATTTGCTGTAGCAGGTCTCCCCGCTATTTCCAGCCATTACAGCCATGTCCGTACACGTGATGCAAAGCAACCCTGACAATGAGAGAGCGAGATTACTGTATATGTACTGTATATTGTATATGTGCTAAATAAATTCAGAATGTGCATGTGAAAGAACAGCGACAGACTCACCACCCTCACTGACAGCCTGCACAGCTGCGTCCAGAAACGGAGACGGGCTGCCATAGGGGTCAAGATCAATAACATCATAGCGTTCCTTCTTCCCTCTGGCCTCATACATCACCATACTGGAAAGACGTTATTATACCAGGATTTAGGATGTAACAGAATCAGTGTTGTTATTGTTAACTAAAACTATAACAAATCATTTTTCACTAATTGGGGGATTTAAAAAAAAATATTAGATAAAAAAACTTAAACATTAAAAAACTTAAAAATTAGGAATGAAATACTAAAATTACTACAAAAAAATTTAGTTTAAAATGACAGAAATAGAAAATGAAAACCTAAAAATTACAGTTAATTCATATATTAATATTTATAATATATTAATATACAATTTAAAAATATAAATATTATATAAAGACATACTTTAGTTGTCAATGCATGTTTGTGAGTGTATAAGCAAAATAGTGGAATAACCAAACAGTGGAGTTTGTGCTCTGACCTGGCATCTCTTTGGCTGGCTTGCAGTATGTGGGACACATTGTTGTGTTGAGCATTGCGGGAGATCAGGGCAGCAGCTTTAGCAGAGTAATCATTAGCAGTGATGCTCTTCAGGCCAGGGACCTCCAGAGCAAAACGTACAGAACGCAGACCTGATGCCGCCAAACCCTCCAGCACACGCAGACCTTGCTAGAGCAGAAAAGCGATACATTACTTGACATTTATTTATTTGGCAGACAGTTTTAGCCAAAGTGATTTACAAACATGGGGGAAAAAAAACAAGACTTATATGAGTCACAGTAGAATACTTGCAAGACAATTTGAAAACATCAGTATTGTAAAATACTATTACGTAATTTCAATGATTTTTGACTAAAATTACTTTAATTTAAAAAAAAAATGAATATAAACTGAAATAAAATATACAATGAAAAACTTACAAAAACGTACACAAAAATTAGAAATGCTGCCATGGCCATTAAAAGAAAGTTTAAGTACTACAATTACTAAAACTGAAATAAATAATAACAAACAAACTAATTAATTAATTAAAAACTATCTAATACACATGACAAGAATACATTGCAAAATTACTAAAATTAAAATGTAAAGCGAAAATAAAGCTAATTCAAAATATTAACAAATACTATAATAGTATATACATAATGATTAAAACACTGGTAATTGCCACACACAGACCTCACATCTTTCCCCTACAGATGCAGTGATGAACTCTTTCTTGTCATCCTCTTCTTCCTTTTGCTGCTCTTTTTCAGGCTGTTCTGATGCTTCCTGGTCCTCTGTTCCATTCTTCTCCTCAGAGAGTCGAACCACAACTCGATCTTTCTCACCCGGGACCAGGATCCGGATGCCCCTCTGAGCCAGCTGCTCCCTGGCAAACTCTGTGATCACCGCACATCTGATCAAAGAAGGTATATGGGAAGTTTAATGGCAAGATTAGAAAACAAAACATCAGGAGACGTCACACTGGATGGCGTACTCACGTTAAATCTCGGTTGAACTCCTGCACAGGGTTGTAGAACACCTCATTAGCACTTGGGAATAAAATGGCAGCCTTTCCCTCCCTGACAACCGTCTCCCCTGGTAAAAGCCCAGGTTCTGTAGACGAGGTCTGACTGCTTTCTGCAGAGCTGGAGGGATTTGTGTCTTCCATTGGTACTGCTGTGGTAGCACTGTCTGCACCTGCACTGGTCCTGTCCTGGGATTGTTCAGGTTCTTTCTTGCCGTCCATCCTGAATGTTTTGAAGACACTGTGTCCTGTAGTAAGGGTCTGAAGGAAGGATATTCTCTTCTTAGGAAATGCTAAAGACAAACCAGGACACCCAAAGGATGCCTGAAGTATATTTCTTGCTAACATCTACCAAAAGACAGCCTTGTGACCTGTCAACACAAAACTGATTTTAGTTAAGAAGCGCTTACAATCTCTTACATGATATATAAATTTAAAAACAAAAAACAAATACAAGGGTTCCCACACCTTTTGACATTGTTTATGTATATAACATCAAAATGTCCATCTGATTTTTTTTTTTGACGACTCATAAAAACTATGACCTAATTTTAAATTTAAGATAAATGTCAACTTCACATACACAATGTAACTAGCCAGGCTAGCATTAAAATGTATCTCGCCTACCAACTTACCGCTGATTATCCTTCCTAAAAGATGCTTTAGTTAAGCCATAGCAAAACATTCACGAACAAAAACAAATCAGATCGCAAAATGTACGCTAGCGCAGAGTCCTGTCAACTGTTAGCTTAAGTGTTTTCAGTGAAAATTCACGTGTAGCTCATGCCGTATGTCAACTACGGAAGCCTTGTAGCACTTAAAACCTGACAGAGACGCCAAGCACTGCGCACGCGCAACTTTAAATTAAGGGCACCGACGACAAAGCAGGGTAATTTAGAAAGGTTCTCTCAGTGGAGGTTTCTCTCTTTCTTTATAAATAATAATAATAAAAGAGGCTCACAGCAGTACTGAATGTTGGAATAACTTTTCCTCTTTTAAAAGTCGTTTCGGAAATATGCTAAATGTAAAAGTAAACAGTGTCAGAATATCATAATACTATCATTTTATTTTATATTGCTATTTTTATTATTGTTGACGTTACGGATTCTTTTTTTTTTAGTCTGTGTGCTTGTTTATGCTTTTGTAACATTGCACCAAAAAAAAAAAAACCTTTTGAAATTGAATGCCAGTAATTAGTGACCAGTAAATACACAATGAAGAAAAACAAGTGTAAATTTACCATTTAATAAACATACTAATTTCTCTAAATCGGGTATTATATTTTTGTCATTCACAGTATATTTAATTGAATTGTCATTATTATTATTATCAACACTGTAAAGTGGTTAATATAAATAAAATTAAATAAAAATTCTGAGTTGGGAAATAAGTTTGTAGACCACAATATTATAACTGTTCTTTGATCTCTGATGCAGCCTTAAACTTCGCAGTTGTCAAGATAGATTGTATATTTAACTATTTTCTTAATTTACATTTCTATATTCACAATTTGATATTTAATATTTAACATAAATTCCATAAATACGTTTTCTACGTAAAGTATTCCTTCTCTGTGCAGCATTATTGTCGTGGTATACATACCTCTACAGATGCTCCTTCTGTACAAATGGCACATTCGATCTAATAATCTAATCTAGTCACGCTCTATAAACACTATGCGCCATATAATTTGACCCCATTAGAGCGACCTGATGGACATATTTTGGAGGCGTTTAGTGCAACAACTTCTCCAATGCGCCATGCAGAGTTGAGTTGGCATGCTGTGCGCGTAGCACCCAGACCCCTCTAGGGCTTCACCTGAGTCTAGACGCTCCACACAGCTCACTTTGTCCGCACTGCCGCACGCTCAACCACGGCCGCCTCGCGCACTGACTCAACGGAGAGCGCGCGGCACGGCTCGCACGCATCGGCGTTCAGACAGCGTTCTTTAATTCGGTCTGTGTGATCGGTGACTCTGTGCTCTAAACCGGGTGACAGAATGATACACCCCTCGATAATTCTGTGCTCGGGCATCTTGCCTTTGCGTTCACGGTGAATGGCTGCCCGTAGAGAGCAATAGTCTGATTCCTCCATTGAAACACTTTCCAGCAGATCGCAAGCGAGGGGTGAGTATTTTAACGCATGCACGAGCGGTTAGCGCCACTTTAAATGGGGTCAAGGGGCAACCACGTGGGTTGAACAAGGGGGTCGCATTTAGTTATTCGTGTGGCACGGGGCAATTGAGAAAGATTTGGGGGGATTTTTGGATAGGGGTTTTGTTTTGTGAAGGTGTGCAATTGCTTTAGATGGGGGGAGGGGTGCAAAACTTTAACCACTTGTTTAACCAATAACAATGACTTGCTGCCGAGAGCTTGATTTATGTTGCATCAATGCGTCCATCTATATTTTCCAACTTTTTAGCCATGCATAACATCGCTTGCATTGTTAGCACGTGTTTCTGGACGATTTGAGGATTTATACTGGAGTAGGACATTAATGTGCATTGCTTTAGACGTCAAGTAGTAAATGGTGTCTTGTCTCGCGGATCAGCCTGACTCGCCCCCAGTTGCTGCATTTGTCCCGGGATGACCTGTTGATGTCGGGAAAAGATGGTGTCGAGACCCCCTTCCTCTTCCTCCAAAATGGAGTAGAATTTAACCACAGAATATTTTATGTGAAATCCAATGATTGCGCCGCGTGCATACAAATATGACTACTTCTTAATTTGCATGCGATTTGCAAGTATGCGGCTCTAGAACGATAATATAATAATGCATGCATATGGATGTTGCTGGGCGAAACGTTCTGGGTATAGATATCATGGTATGTGCAGGACTGTAGCTCAGCCCGACATTGCATATCATTACACTGGCACCGAGGGGCGAGAGAAACGGATGTGCGCTCCTCAATAATTCATCTATCTGACTATTTTGGTGACAGGAATATTTGAGGGCTGAGCAGCTTTTAGCTCTTTGGTCGCCGCATCAAGTTTGGAAACCAGGCAATTGGGGAATTATTTCTCATTTTTCTGCCCCCCGGGGCCCGTGCCAAACCGGAGCTCGTGTCCAGCTGGGCAGCGGTGCGGGCACACACACTCACCGGGTACCGCAGCCCTGCCGCGGCCGCCCACATCACAGAAACACCGGCGCCCGACTTTAACGGTGAGATTGCAAACTATTGTTAACTTATTACCTTAATGTTTTTAAATTAAAATTGTTGTTATTATGCCATACTGAAATAGTGCTGTGCGAGTGATACAAAGCAAACAGTCTGAGTGAATTAAACGGCATTTTAGCTGCATCCTGAAGCTGAAATCACATTATCGACAATTGAAAATACTAGTTTATTCTTAAACCCTATTCGCACGGGATAAGTATTATCTCGGGACCTCGTGTGATTACCAAGTTATAATAATTTTTTGATATGTTTCTTAAATGTGATTGCTATTGGCTAAAGGACTAGCTTTAACACTTTAAACTAGGATGGTGCAATCCGAAAACTAACTATTTCCAAAATGGCATATCTACTACAGTTACTGTTAGTGCTGATAATAAATTCATATTTATATTACATTTTCTTCAAACAACATAAGAATCTTTCTGACATGTAAATTTTTAAGTGGAAGTGGTTAAGTGGTGACTACTAGTTATTAGAGTTTTATATATATATATATATATATATTTGAGAAAAATAGGTTAAATGAACTAAATTAAAAATAAATCCATTGTAACCTTTTGAGTTAAAATATAATTTTATAAAATAAAAATATTCTATCTATCTATCTATCTATCTATCTATCTCATAAAATGGTATTATAGGCATATAGGTTAAAAGGAGTATAATTGTATAAACGGATGTTTCTTTGAAAACAAGTAGAGGTTTTATAACTGAGCAAAACCTTGCTGCTCTGCCAGACGAATCTTTGATCTGCTTGCTTTAACCTCCTGATCGACCTTTGTACAAAGCAAGAAGTTGGAGTGAAATTACTCAGAACACCTTTAGTGGGGATTTTTGATTAAACTGTAAGGTACTTTTCAGTAGCTTTGTCTTATTACTCAATAAAAAGATCCTGTGATGATGAACACAGAACTTTTGGTTGTTAAGAATTGTTAACATATTTTGTGAGGTACATTTATACAAGTGTTGAAAGTGTTGAGTTGATCTATATTGCATTATACATTTAATGATTTAGCTGACACTTTTGTCCAAAGCGACTTAGAAATGAGGAATACAACAAGCGATTTATCATAAGGAGGCAATAACACGAGAAGTGCTGGCATTACGAAGTTTCGAACATTGTTCAGAAAAGTACAAGTTAGAAGTTAGATAAAGGAGGGACAGGAATAGTGAAAGCATAGAAAGTGAAGCAGGATGCAGGTTAAGTGCTCATTAGCAGAAGGATTGAACACAAGTAAACAATGCGTATGAAAGTAACTGCACTTAAGTTTGAGTGTTGTTGGTCACACAGAGTACATACAGATATGATTTTATATAAAGTGCAACCAGAAACCTCAAAATCTCAAACAGAGGTTGGATAGCATAATACAGGATGACATAGTCCTAATTGGCTGATATATGACCCCTAGATAGTCATTGCATCAGGGATGTGCTCTAATTTTCTGTTAAAGAATATTTATTGAACCACCTGTGTGCCATCTATTCATCTTTTGCTTCTATAAAGGATTTTGTTTGTTGGAAAGTACGTGTTGACCCTTGGCTTAAGAGCAGAGAGTATTTGTATGATCCTAAAAAGAATAGACTGTAGTATTATAAATTGTTTATGACCCATAGATAGCCTCTGGATGGTTCTAACTTCTAGGCATAATCTTCGGTTATATTAAGAATGTGTATCAACATTTATTGCTTTTGTTCACTGTCTAATTTCCTGGGGAGAATGTATGCATTTTCTGTTTCTATGTTCTGGTCTTGACTTTCATGGGATGTTGTTTGTGAGACTGCATGCACTGACCTTGGAGTTAGAAAGTTAGAACAGCGAGAACCACTATGTCCCCATGGTTTCATAAGAATAGATGATGATAAACTGCAAGTGTGTGTGTGGTGATTCCAGAAATATTTAAAGCTTTATTTAAGAGTCACATTGTTCATTTAGGTAAGACAATTTTTGTGAATCTTTTCACAACATTTTACAGAAATGTTTCTGCGCTATCATTCAAAATTGACTGTAAAGGCATTTATAATGTTACAATTTACATATTTTTATTTCAAATAAATGCTGTTGTTCTTTTTTAACTTTATATTCATAAAATTATCCTGAAAAAATGTATAATTTTTTTCTTCTTTTCTTTTACAAAAATGCACAAATGTTTTCAGCATAGATAATATGAAGAATTATCTTTTGAGCAGCAAGTCAGCATATTAAAATAATTCTGAATGATTTTGATGTGACACTGAAAAAAACTGTGGCGTAATGGCTGCTGAAAATTCAGCTTTGCAACCACAGAAATATATTATATTCTTTAAATATATTAAAATAGAAAAGTTATTTTAAACATAAACAATATTAGTGCTTTTACTGTATTTTCAGTCAAATCAATACAGTCTTGATGAACTTTAGAGACTTAACACTAAAAAATCTAACCAAACCCATACTTTTGAACGGTAGATGTGTATTTACGCATACCATTTTTGTGTCCTATAAAGTCATCTTGTGGAAAATTTTTTTGATTATTTAACTTAATATTTTTAGCCCATTGTTTTCTTAAAAACAATGTTTAATTATTGTTATTAATGTATGAATATACCTGTCCTCATATTCCATTGGTAAGCATTTAAGGAATCTGCACACTTTTTCACATTTTCCTCGCTGTTGGAATTTTGGTGGGAAAATTGATTGAATTCTGCAAAATAAACACCCGATGGGTGGGACTGTGTAGGAATTTGAATGACAAGTTGAATTTTGTGGAAATCTAAAGATATTTTTGCACCCATCTGTAGGCGTGGATTCTGTACAGGCCCTGCCCATTTGTCATTATTATAAGAACTCTGGTAAAATAATTTAGAATTTTTCACCTTAGTTCTAAACTGTTTTGTGTTTTCTTTTTCCACAGACTCTGTAGTACTGGGCTTTACGATATGGCTCAGATGCTACAGATGGCGATTCCCAACTTTGGCAACAATGTCTTGGAGTGTCTTAATGAGCAGAGACTTCAGGGACTGTACTGTGATGTGTCAGTGGTGGTGAAGGGTCACGCATTTAAAGCCCACCGGGCAGTGCTGGCTGCCAGCAGCTCCTACTTTCGAGATTTGTTCAACTCTGGAAGTAAGAGCTCTGTCGTGGAGTTACCACCGGCGGTCCAGCCTCAGAGCTTCCAGCAGATCCTTTCCTTCTGTTACACTGGCCGACTTAGCATGAACTTGGGCGATCAGTTTCTCTTAATGTACACAGCAGGATTCCTGCAGATTCAGCAGATTATGGAAAAAGGCACAGAGTTCTTCTTAAAGGTCAGCTCACCAAGTTGTGACTCACAGGGTCTTCACACAGAAGAAACACCACCCTCAGAACCCCAGAGCCCCGTTACTCAAACTGGGAGTGGTACAGTAGGAGGGTGTGCGGTTGCCACTGCAACGGCTCGACCTGCTTCCTGCCTAACGCCCCTTCCTTTGGTGTCAAGGGTGAAGACAGAGCAGCAACCTCAAGCCCAGCAGTCCCAACAAGAAGCATCATCATATTCAGTGGTTTGCACTCCAGTTGCTAAGCGTCTTTGGGAGGGAGGTAGCCGTGAAGGAGGTGGAGGATCAGGAGGAGGGGGAGGTATGAGGAAAGCAGCCCGCTATTCACAGGAAGTGGCACGGGGCATGGGAGGGGCACCGCCTCAAAGTGCAGCCTTATTGGGTGGAAGCGGTACCACTAATAGCAACAACAACAGCAACAACAATAATAACAACAGCAGTAACATGCCAGAAGGCACCAGCCCAGGCACCCCCAGCATGTACACCAGTGACTCGCCAATCTCTTACCACGATGATGATGAAGAAGAGGAAATCACATACGAAACAACTGAAGAACAGTACAGACAGATCTGTAATATGTACACTATGTACAGCATGTTGAATGTAGGGGCAACAGGTAAGAATAGTTGAACTAAAATTTGATTTCATTGATGGGTTGCTGATACTTATCAAGTAAATTTATTAACTGACACTTCTGAACACCACATTGTGATAAGAGACTTTAGTATGTTGTAAAATTGTGGGAAATAAATTGGGCCAAGTATCGAGCCCTGAGGAACTCCATCAATAGGATTATTGAAAAGTAATCATACAGACAACAAACCAAACAAAGCTCATTTGCTTTGCTTTGTAGACCTTTTCTAAACATATTTTTAAAATATAGTTTTATTGTTATTAAGAAAAGTCAAAATTACTTATATACCCTAAACAATAGGTTAAACTTAGGTTTAAACAATAGGTTATAATTGTTTCATCATTGCTCCTCCATTCACTTTCCCCCCAAAAAATGAATTCAAAGCAAAATATATAAGTTTGTTTATTTAAAATGTATTTAGTTTATGTAATTTTTAAAAATATGTTTGTTTATCTTTTTAGCTATTTATCTGCAGATTTATAGGCCGTTTAGGGTCAATATATGTTTTTTTATTTTAAAATATCTCTCTCGCTTTGTAATCTTGGTTCAGCCAGCGAACGAGTGGAGTCACTACCAGACCACCTCACAGTTGAATCAAGGGGAAGAGGAGTTCGAGTGAGGCAAGATCTGGCCTCTCTTCCCACTGAGCTCATTGCACAGATCGGAAACCGCTGTCATCCTAAACTCTATGAAGAAGGTGACCCTGCTGAGAAACTGGAGCTAGTAACAGGCACCAGTGTTTTTATTTCACGTGCTCAGCTGATGAACTGCCACGTTAGTGCAGGCACACGCCACAAAGTGTTGCTCAGGCGGCTCCTTGCTGCCTTTTTTGACCGGTGAGTGAAGTTTTTGACCTTTATTCAGCAGGAAATAAACAAAAAACAGTCATTAGTATTTAAAGGAATTGTTCACACACACACACAAAAAAATTGTCATGATTTACCCACCCTTATGACTTGCTTTTGCCAGAATGGAGATATTTAGCATAATGTCAAAGTTGCTCTTTTCCATACAGTGAAAGGTAATTGTCATACAGGTTTGGAATGATATGAGGGTGACTAAATGATGCCAAAATGTTCATTTCTTGAGTGAACTAGCTCTTTAAAAGTAAAAATGTAAAATGAAGTTATTAATGGAAATCGATCCGATTATTTTAGGGTTTTAAAAAGTTACTTTTTTTAAGACCACAAAACAGTCCACAAAAAAACTTGGTTTGCTGAACAGATTTCTTGGTTTTGAATCCCAGTTGCTCTTGGAAATTACAGGTCAGATTTGTATGTGTTCCTTTTAAAGTGTATCATCCTTCTTTATTTTTCCTGTAGAAGCACTCTTGCAAACAGCTGTGGGACAGGCATTCGGTCCTCCACAAATGACCCCAACCGCAAGCCACTCGACAGTCGGGTTCTCCATGCTGTTAAGTGTAAGTTGTGGTAAAAGCAGTTTTATCTACTTTACGTTTTCAAGCATCATTCAAAATAGCTATGTGTAAAAAGTGCATGATAAACTAAACTAACTTCTTTTTTTGTTCTCTTTATCTCTAGTTTACTGCCAGAACTTTGCTCCTAGTTTCAAAGAGAGCGAAATGAACGCGATCGCTGCAGACATGTGCACTAATGCACGCCGCGTAGTACGCAAGAGCTGGATTCCGAAACTGAAGATCCTGATGGCAGAAAGTGACGCTTATGCCAACTTTCTTCCGGATGCTTCCAAATTGGAGTCTGATGGCTTGGCTGTGGAGCATGCTTTTGAAACAGGATCCCTAGAAGGTGGTACAGCCTCTGAATCTGGCCAGTCATCTACAGATGCCCTGCAAGGTGTGAGCGGGGAGGGTAACAGCTTGTTTTAGTGAGTAACACTACCATAGTTCAGCTATTCATTCCTCTTCCACTCCTCCATTGCATCCCAGTCTCACCTTGGGCGTTGATGTCATTTGGGAGCAATGAAGTGTATCTTTATGAAGACTGTTGTTGAATCTCACTTCAGAAACTGGTACTTTTTATTTCCTTGTAGATTTTATTTCCTTGAGGCCCTCCTTGTCATACTGCAGAAACACATTCCTGAAGAGGAGGGTACTATAGGTATATTTGGGATGAGCGGAACGGGAAATGGTGTCTGGAAGCTCCTATCCAGTCTGAAAACACTGTCATGATTCTAAATATCTTTTTGGAGAATCCAGAAAGTTAATGTTCCTGGACATAAGATTGTATTCATCTGTTAACATTTAGTGGCTGTGTACCTGCTTTCTGGACCCCATTTCCTCTTTCTGCACAAACACCCTGAGACACTTTTACTTTTTTTCTTTTAAATTAAATTTTCTTTTTAACAACATTTGTAATTTTTTTTTGCTTTTTGCCAACTATTCAACTTTTTGTCTTGCCAAGTATCCCAAGAGAGGCAATGTGTCATTTATGGATGCAATGAATTTGTAAGAGGCAATCTGTTTATCTGAAACTACTTTTGAGTTTTGATAGAGAGAGTCTGTGCAAGATTCTCACCTTTTAATCAACGAATAGTGAATTGTTGTCCACATGTTTTTGCATTAGCAAAAACAAAATCTATTTTAATCATTTTATTTTGGTATATTACCAAGGCTTGATATTGTTACTTTGATTTATTTTAATCAAATCGGCATGAGTTTTTACTGTCAAATATCTCCAAAGCAAATCCCAAAACACTCCCACAAACTTAAAAATCATTAAGACCTTTTAAATTTGTCTTTCTGTTCTTAGTAGTTTTGTACGACACATGACGTAGGACTGGCGTCTGTGTGTTGTGTAAATGAGTGTGTATGGAGGCTGTAGATGGTAGTATTTGATGTGCTGTATCTCACAGTTGACTGCTTCATGCGCCGATCGCACAAGCGTGGTGCATGCTGCCGCATGGTGCATTCTGACATACTACGCCTCAGCGCCTCTGACAGAGATGCACTAAACGCTCTGATGAGTGCAGTATTAGAGATTGGCACTGAACAGGCATCAGTGCCCTAGCTACGGTGGTTCTAAACCACTAAAGACCACTCTGAGAGTAGAAGCTGTTTTTTTTTTTTAATGCGGATTTGAAAAGTCAGTTTTTAATTGTCTCTTGATGGCTTTCGGGTTTTAGAAAGAGTAGTTCTTGAAGTCTGTAATGCTAATGAAGAGCTGTTGTAACCACAGGTTTGGAGATGAAAGAAAGTGACCATGTAGTGTAGTTGCACTCTTAAAATATTTAAGGATGTGTTCAAATTAGATTCCCAAAGTATGACCTGCATCTTCAGGTGTTTTAAGCACACTTATGTCATGAAATGTGGACTGTATTGTTTGAATTTTTGATTATGGCTGAAGAAAGGCTATGATTGGACAAGATAATCTCAGTCCAAAAGAGTAAAATAAGTTTTAACCTAAAAACTAAATTATTTACACACAACCTTGTTATTTGTGGGTTTTAAAGGGGTGGTTCAGTGGTTTTTTTCTAGGCTTGATTGTGTTTATGGGGTGCAGTCTAACATGTGTTAATGCTTAGTTTTTTTTAAAAACGCATTACTTTTTCACATAATTTACCTTTATTCCACACTGCTCTGTCCCTTCTCTGAGAAATGCGCTGATCAATTTTCTGCTTTTATGAAGCCCCTCCCTCAGAAATAGGCGATGGGCTCTGATTGGTTAGCTAGCCCAGTGTGTTGTGATTGGCTAAACCACCTCTAGTGCGCGTCTAAACGTGCCGCCCCTCTCCTCAACGACATGTGCTCTGGTTGTATTGTAAACAAAGGCCTCCTTAATATCGTCGTTAATATCTGATAATATAATATCAGTTTGAGCCCGATTGAGAAGCAGAGGATATTATTGAAGAGGATCGTGCAGAACCTGTGCAAGCACAGCTTTTAATGGTAGGCCTATGTTTTTTGTTTTTTGTTGTCTCATACTTTTAGATATGCTGTTATTTGTAAATGCTACTGCTTATGTTAGCTTTTAATATCATGATTAAAGCTTTAATACAGTACGGCAACTGCACGCGGGTCCATGTTTAATGCTTCTCATAGCTATGTGAAAATAAGTGTATAATTGTAACAGTTCATTGCTGCAGCTGTGGAAGTTAGTGGGTAAGCACTATCACTTGCTGAATGAGAGAGAGAGAGAGATGCAGAGCGTGTGCAGAGCAGGGGTTTGTGATGTCACGAACCCGGGAAGTAACTTGTTGTAGTCCCTACCAGCCGTTTTTGTAGGCATTAAACTGCCAGAATTTTAAAAGACGATATCTCCATTTGCATTGAACTTTCAGCTTCGTAACTTTGCAGATATTGTTTATGCTCAAACAGCAACATTACACACTAACTAACATTAAAAAAGGGAAACCGCAATCAACCACCCCTTTAAAATGTTTAAATTTTTTTAACCTCTTCTTTTAAAAGGATAGTTCACCCAAAAATGAAAATTGTCATCTACTCACCCATCCATTCCATCCAAACCTGTGTGACTTTCTTTATTTTGTGAAACACAAAAGAAGATCTTTTGAAGATGTCGGTATCAAACGAGTTTGATGTTTTGAAGAATGTATTCTATTGTATGGACCCAAAAAAAAAAAAAGATATTGCTCAAAATATATAATACATAATTAAATAAAGATAGTATAATAATATTTAATCATAAAAACATTAAATACTGTTTTGGGTGAACTATCAATTTAAAACAAAAAATATTAGTTAGACATTTCATAGGGGTGAAAAAAAGAACAAAAAAGGCAAGTTTCTTTTAAAAGATGGCAGCTTAAGTCTGTCAGTACACTGCACTGGGCCAGACTTTTACCTCTCATCCACGTGGTACGATCCTAAGAGACTGCACCAAGTCTTAATCATAGTACGATAGGATGAGCATGAGATATTTGCACAGAAATCTGAACTGGATTGTTCAGCACTGCCTTAAAGAGTGGAAGTTCCTGCCTGGGAGTCTTACACAGCCAGTCTGTGACAGAGAAGAGAAAGAAATTGTGGGAAGGGGAGGGCACTGAATGCCTGGATGCGTGCTGGTGTGCTTCGCTACTTTTTCCTCAGAGTTTGAGCCTCTTTTTTTAATTTCCATTTTTAGAGACACGCATGCTAATGTCTGTGCATTCATGTGAGGAGGCTGACAGGAAACCAACCGCAAGTGTGTGCCAGAGGCATGCTTTTTATATGTGTGCATTTGTTTATGTGTACATGCTCAAATGTAAGTCTGGTTTTTGTGTGCCAAATGCACGTCTGAGAGAGGGTGCGTGGGTGGTGTTGGTGTATGACTGTGGAATATGTGCATTGTGTGTGTGTGGATGGGTGGGTGAGTGGCTGGTATGTGCGTATGCAGAGATCAGAGAGCTCTGTTTGTTTTTGTCTGACTCAGAGAGGGAGACATACAGTGCAGACGCAAGCAGAGAGGGGAGGGAATGTATTGGTGAGGAGATGGATGCTCACACACACACACACACACACTTAAACACACAACTGGTGCAGTGAGCCATTTTCCAAATGGAGGCATCAAACGTACGCTTTGACTAAACAAACCATCAGCTTGCATTGAATCTCATCTGATTTGGCTTCTTTGGTTTTGTTTCTTCATTAAAGAGTTAACATGAAATCAAAATTGATCCAATTTACTGTCTGAATACACATTTCTGTGGTTTTGTGTATAAAACTTTGCATAGATTTTATACACACAAGAATCCATACAAACAGCAGATTTTGAGTATAATTAAATGGTCTCAGATTTATAAAAGCGTATGTTTGTCAGAACTTGTGAAAAGAAAGTTCACTTTTCCAGCCTCGTCGTCTTTTTGAAATAACCATATGTGGAACTTATGGAGCTTTTTATTATTCATAACCCTTTTCCGTATAATTTACATATGCAGAATTTCATCCAAATACAACTGCATTTAAAGTTTGCGTGAAATAAAAATTCACCATATCTTACATTCATAAATCTATATATACATCTATATATCTATATCTATATGTGACCCTGGGACCACAAAACCAGTCTTAAGGGTCAATTTTTTGAAATTGAGATTTATACATCACCCGAAAGCTGAATAAATAAGCTTTCCATTGATGGATGGGTTTGTTAGGATAGGACAATATTTGGCCGAGATACAGCTATTTGAAAAATTTACAAAATATCTTCATGGAACATGATCTTTACTTAATATCTTAATGATTTTTGGCATAAAAGAAAAATCGATAATTTTGACACATACAATGTTTTTTTGGCTATTGCTACAAATATACCCAAGCGACTTATGTGTGAAAATGATGCAACTAGACCTTCCAGAGAAAATGACAGACTTCTTTCTGGTGATGTATGTGGTTCTTTTTCAGTCATTTTGTCCATTTAAACCCTGCTCCTTTAAGCTTGCGTTCATCTGCCTCCACTTTTTGAGGTTTGTTAGGATAGGACAATATTTGGCCGAGATGCAACCATTTGAATCTGAGGCTGCAAAAAAATCTAAATACTGAGAAAATCGCCTTTACGAAATTTACAAAATATCTTCATGGAACATGATCTTTACTTAATATCTTAATGATTTTTGGCATAAAAGAAAAATCGATAATTTTGACACATACAATGTTTTTTTGGCTATTGCTACAAATATACCCAAGCGACTTATGTGTGAAAATGATGCAACTAGACCTTCCAGAGAAAATGACAGACTTCTTTCTGGTGATGTATGTGGTTCTTTTTCAGTCATTTTGTCCATTTAAACCCTGCTCCTTTAAGCTTGCGTTCATCTGCCTCCACTTTTTGAATTTGTTCACATTTTGAAATCCAATCAAAACCTGATGTATAGAACCAAGTCCTGCCCGCCCCCCCCCAGCAGTCGACATTTCTTCATCCCTGTTAGAATGTACATATATGGAGCTGGATCCTCCAAAGTACAGCTTGATAAGACTGTTTTTTGTACTATCATGTTTGACACACATGCAGGACCAGGAGGTTTTTTAGGAAGCATCCAGCATGCATGTCCATGAGGGCTGGATTTGTGATGTTTTCAACTCACGAAAACACTTCTTAACATGTTCTGCTCAGTAGTGCATTGGTGAGATTGGGTACACAGTGTGCGCTGAACTCGATGAACTTTAGTGGAATTATCCCGTATAGAATTTCAACCCCTGACCTGCACACTGGTCTTACGTGCAGGATCCTCTAATTTAACAATTAAACTTAAAGTATTATTATTATGTTATACTAAAGAATCATCTAAGTCAAACAGAACAAATGAGGTTAGGCTTTGGACGCTTTGAGACACAACAATGAATACCACACACACACACAAAAAAGTGTAATAGAATTCATGGGAAACTATATATCTTTGTTTTTATTAGCTATGATTTTGTTTTGTTCTACTCTAGAATAGTGCTTGGCCATTGAGATGCTACTAATTTAACATAGTGTTCATATCGATATCGGAATTATATCGTATCGACCGAAATTAAGAAATATATCATGATATCAGTTTTGGCCATATCATCCAGCCCTACATAGACTGTAGAGTTGCCAAGGGTTTTGTAAAGGAACATGAAATTTACAGTAGCTAGGAGCAAGAGAAATTTTATATTTTTGCTTTGTATATTACTGAAGTGCTGGGAAGGGATGAGGGCAGCTGAAACTAGCTAAGAGGGTATTTACTGTATAAAAATGTCATTCTTAAAGGGTGGATGAGTTAGGGAGTTGGGGTCTATAAGCACTGCAAGCTATTTTTATTACATCTTTCTGTCTTAAAGAAATCTGTTTTTTTGTTTGTTACTGAATTGGTTTGCTGGTAAAGGTGATGTTTAAATGACATTGAACGGCTCATGAGCGCCACCTGGTGTCGGACTTGATGCTGCGGGTAGAAAGAAAACTGCCATGCAGTTACTTCTCCTGACCATTAAGGGACAGCAAATCTTTTAATTTGACTTGATCTTTAATTGAATAACCCCTTGCCAAAAGAAAACGTACACAACTGTGTGTAAAATGTTTTTGAACTGCCAAATATTGCGTATATTCAGATCGAGAATAAATAGTCTCTGCTGGTGTTTACCAATGTGATGATCAAAACAATCGATATATATGACACTTTATTAACAAACAACCAATATGGGGATTTGCGAAAGCTATTTAACATGACTTAATATATTTACAGAATTTGACACTTTGCGTTTTGTATTTGAAACTTTACTTGATTATTAAGATCCCTTTACTCGAGTTTTTTTTTTTTTCCTGTTCCATTTTCTATAGTGATTTGCAGAGAAAAATATGTAGGACTCTGCAAGAAGTAAAATGGATTGTAAACTGTGTTAAATAGAGCTGAGAGTGCTGTATACTCTTATCAGTTGCTGAAGATATTATTAAAGTAAGTGTGTGTGTGTGTTGCAAGAGAGAGGGAGCTTTATTTAAATCTGAAAAAGCACCTTTCGGTGAGTGTTCATAGTTTAACTGTGAACTCATACCTTGTCATAGGAGTCTTCAACAGGGAGTCAACCGTGTTTTTTTTTTTTTTGCTGTTAATGTGTTGACTACAAAATAAAAAGCTAAAGATGCTCTAAATTTTTCTTTTTTCCCTCCCACATTAAATTATATCAAATTAATGATATTTTTATTTTTAATACAAGTATACATGTGGTTATTTTAATGGCTTTGCAATATAAGCATCACATGTAAATACGTTAATATGGTAATATGCGCATGTTATCAGCCAGGCTTAAAATGCTACACTCAATTTTATGCAATATGTAAAAAAAAAAAAAAAAGGGATCTGTTTTCTGTCTCTGTAAACAGCAAGGGGTGCTTGGCCTGAAAATAAGTTGAAGGCCCCTGTCTTAGCACCTTGAGCTCCTTCTCTCTGCCTCACTGTTTCAATTGAGCACGGGGGAGTGATGTATCTTTTTTTTTATTCTGTTAGATTTTTTTAATTCTGGCTTAGAGCTTGTTCACACAGAGCTTTTTTTTTTGCGCATTTAACTGCGCTGCTGTTTAACTTTTTCTAGGCAGATGTCTTTTAATGTTGTGATGCATCTCGCTGCTTTTCCAGCGTCTTGTGCATGGAAGCTGCGGTTACAAAAAAAGTTGTTCGACTATTAAGGCAAGTTCGACTTTTAAGGCAAGACACCCCAGGTGAACGGTATAAATGTAAATCTTCACCAGTTGATTGTTTTGTGTTACAAGGTTTCAAATATCAAATGATGTAATTAAATATGCACTAGAACATAAATGTGAACATTGGATAAAGCCAGGTTCAAAATTTGTTTGATTTTTGTTGAGATATTAAAGGTTTTTAGAAAGGGGATTTTGGATATCTCTTTTTATCAGAAGACAGAAGAGGCGCATACACAGGAAAAACAAAGACCGATGCAATCAAAAAGCCTCGGATGAAGACATACCTCTCCTAAACTGATATCTTGTACATTTTATCCTTTTAATAAGATGTCTATCAACCTGTTAATCGTATTTCACCTTTCCAACTTTCTCTCCTCCAGTATAAACACACCTCTCTCTTTCTCTCTGCTGCGGCCCGCCGCTCCATGTACTTCATCTTTCTGTGCGCTTCTGCGCTGCTGGCAACCTCAAAGACTCCAAAACATATATTGCTCTTTGTACATCCCTGCCCACCAGAGACCAATGCATGTGCGCACACACAAGCAGGTGTGTGGATCTACCTCCTGACACCGTCAGCCATACCTTCCTGGCCTCTGTGCCTTCATACAGGTCATGTGATGCAGGAGACCCCTTGAGGTGTTACGGGAAATAGATGTAAATGGGGGCAACTTTGAATATGGAATGTGGTAGATTCATACCTCAGCAGGGGCCAGGGAGCTCCATCAGCATGGCTCTGGAGAGCATGTCTCTTGTGTGGCCGCAGGGATCCTGCAGCAATTGTTTTTCTGGTATAGATATATGAATATACATATATAAATACAAATCTATATATACTGACTGTACATTATACATAGAAACACTAATGAAGTTTGATTGTTAGTTGTGCATTCACAGCATGAGATATTATTCCCCAGAAACCACGTTTTGGAAACAAATGCAGTAGCTTCTACTGATGTCAAAACCCCTCTGTACCCTTCACCCCACCCCGAGTACATGCCAGTGTTTCCTCTGTGTTCCAAGTGCCAATAACTTTGTGAATTCCTTTACTGTGACCCAACAAGAAAGAAAATTGCACATTAACTACTGTAAAAAAAAAAAAAAGAATAAACATGGAGAAAAGATGTTCTTAATAAAAAGGTTTGTAACAAAGTAAAATCATTGTGGTTGGCTTTTGTTTTAAAGGAATTAAACACCCCAAAATTAAAATTGGCTGAAAATGTACTCGCCCTCAGGACATACAAGAGATGTCTCCACTGGAACAGATTTGGAGAAATGTAACACTATACGTCGCTTGCTCACCAGTGGATCCTCTGTAGTGAATGGGTGCCGTCAGAATGAGCAGCTGATAAAAACTTGAAAATAATCCACACGACTACAGCGAGGGGAAAAGTTGCATGTTTGTAATAAACAAATCCATCAAGACATTTTTAAACTTCAAACTGTTGCTATCAGCTAAAATAAGTCCTCTAGTCATAACATTGCTTTCTCAAGTGAAAAAGTACTCTCATCTGAGGAGCGAAATATACACAGAGCAAACACTGTTTATAAGCATAAACAGTCTAAAATTACCCTTTAAAAATGGTGATGTGAGAGGATAACGGGGATGGACTTTTTCTGTGGATTAAGTGTTATTGTGGATTGTGGACTATGTTGGCTAGAAGTGATGGTTTAAAGTTAAAACGCCTTGATGGATTTCTTACAAACACACAGCTTTTCACTTCACAAGACATTAATTGATGGATTGGAGTCATGTGGATTACGGTGATGCTTCCATCAGATGATTCATTAT